CCCCCGTCTCCTTTGTGGGGGCTGGTACCCCGCCGCTTTCCCGATTTATTCATTTTTCCTCCTCCCCTCGTTCCCCTCCTCAGCCCCGCGCTCGGGCTCGGCGGTGCGGGAGGGGGCTGCGGCGCCGGCCGGGGCAGGGCTCCCCAGGTTGCTCTCGAGAGGAACCGCTTGGCTGAAAGTGCTTTAACCCGCCGGAGTGAGTCGTGCAGAAATAGATGCATACCCCCCTTGGAAAGGAAAACGATGCATAAGCCCCCTTGAAAAGGAAAGTGATTGTTGCTGAACATGTTTTTCCAAGGCTGGGAAAAGCATAGCGTCATTCGCTTCTTCCCTAAACTGTGGCAACCGCTGAAGTTTCCTACTTCTTGCAAAAGTCAGCTGGAGACTTCAGTGCCCCTTCCCGTCCCTCAGGCTCGGTTGCTTTTTGCTCGTTGCGTTTTGTAGTTGCTTTAGTTTCAAGGAGCCATAAGATAGGAAGACATTTTATCTTCAGCAATTAAAATAAAAGAATGTGTGCAGGAAAATCCCTCAGAGAGAGGTGTCCAAGCACATGTATGTCCAACTCTGTGCCAAAACGTGTTTCTTGCCTCGTACTGTTTTAGAATCTGTACTTCTGATTTCTATTCTAGGCATACAAAGGTACTTCATCCCACTAGATTATTACCACATGAAATCCAAAATAGTTTCTTGGCTTGTTTACCCAAGAGTGTAATCAAGTTATTTTTAATATCTAGCTTAATTTTCTTCTGGCATGCAGAAGGAAGCTCCCTTTTTGAGAAGCAAGTTTTTCGTCAGCAAGTTCTGATAGGAAAACTGCTGACTTGGTTGGTAACTAGTGGGGGGGGAAAAAAAAAAGGTGTTGATGAATACCAGACTCTACTCAATGAGCTTCTCATTTCCAGTTTTCTTAATGCTTTGCTGCTTTTAGTTGTTGAGAAGATTTCTCTGAAGGTTGTGCTGTGCTCAGTAGTTCGCAGTGTCAGGGATGCGTGAGCAGCCCTCGCTGTCCCTCGGAGGTGCAGCCTACGGGGGCACGTTTTGAGTAAAATGTTGAGCTCCTGTGTCTGTAGTCAGGGCAGTGAGACTGTAAGCTAAGCTCCTTTGGAAATCAGTTATTGCAATCGCAGTTAAGTTTTCTCAAAAATATCTATTTAAATAATGCTCTTTTTTAAACTACATGCTTGAGTTGTGGGATCTCAGGCTGGTATAAGCTAATAGCTGGCATGGTAGGGATTTTTCTTTAATGCTGCGGGTGTTCAGAGGTGTGAAAAGCAAAGAGTGCGTAGTCCATACAGCACTGGATGATTCAGCAAGCCAAAAATAGACTGCTACATCTATATAAATAATGAAAATGATGCCACACACATTACAGTGCTAGAAAGCACTGACACATTAATGTATAGGTGTTCACACAGGAAAATCCTAATTCTTTTCAATTTAAACATTAGTAACCTGCATTTTAGCAGGCTTTTGCTGAGTTGAAACCACTCGAGTAGTTTTGTGACCCCAGACACTGCCTGCTGTGTTACTTGTTTTCTTTCCAGTTTTAACCCTGGAATGTTTTCCCTGAGTCTGCGCTGTATTGCTTGAAGAGGGGCAGACCTCAGTGTGCCTCCAGTTCTAGAAATCTGCGTTTTAATTTCTAATCTCTTGATACTTTGTACAACTTGGCATAAAGCGGCACCCTGTCAGGTTTTAAAGCGGTCCATTAGTGTTCCTTGCTTCAGAAATCAGCTGTAACAGTAGTGTCTAAAGCTGACTTGCCAAGCTGCATCTTTGTTTCTTAGTAAGATTTTACTGCTTTAATCGGAAAGGCTTGGAAAAGTTGCATCCAGAGAACTGCCTGTTGCAGAGCAGTGGTTACTGGAGCAACGAGCAGTCGGTGCAGCCCTGTGGCAAACCATGTTTGCAGAAATCCCTCCTGTGCTCCTTTGCCTCAGCTTTGTGTTTCAGGCCATCACAGAGAAGAGCACTGTCAAGCTCTGAAACACTGACTCCTGTATGGTGAAGATACAAAAGTTTCTGTGTTAAAACAGAAGTGTTAAAATATTTCCATTGCCCCGTACTTGCTGCATGCGTGTTGCTTATCGTGTAAAGCAGTCCAGGACGCACGGAGAGCGAGTGGAAAAGACATTTGTCATCGTGCTAGAAGCTGGCACTGCTCTTGGCATCAGACGTAAGTGATGTTCCCACCTAAGATGTTTTATTAATCAGCTGTTTGCAAGGGAAATGGCTTCGCTGCCTTTGAATCCATTCCCCGGAGCGGCTGTGGGGACTTGGCTGGCTGGAGCATGGCTGCACTGAGGCATCGGGGCCGCAGGTCGTAACATTGGCAGACGGGCAGGTTTTGAGGTGGGCCCTGTGGTTTGTTCCTGTCTGAATGTGCTCCCAAAATGTGAGGGGTGGGTCGGAAGGGATTTTGTCCCATTGAGGGCCCTGGCAGCCTGGGTGGCATTCCAGAGCCAGCCCGTCTGGGAGGTGTGGGCAGCCCGGCAGGCTGTGGGAGTGCTCTGAGCCAGCAGGCTTTCCTCTGCCCTGGCGTCTGTCAAGTGCTGGTCACAAAGGCTTCAAGCGGTAATTGCTGACTGGTCTAGCTGTGTAAGGACCCACTTGGAGATACAGCGTGTGCTGTTGCCATTTCTGTTGCCTTTTTTGGGCTCAGCCAAAATGGTTGCTGAGAGTGACAGTAGGTGATCAATAGGCCTTTCCCTCAGA